ATTGAATCTTGGCTCTACCAACTTAATTTGTGTGAGGTTTACATTGGTCTTACTGTAAAAAAACAACAACAACGTGAAACCAAGTGGCAGAACCACCGGCTAAAATCGCTTCGGCTGCTCAAATGTATGGCTTGGCATGTGAGTTCAACTCTGCCTGGGTGGTGAAGATAATGCCTCTGTAGCCCGGCTCCTGAAGCTCGATGGCATGCGTTCGAGGTGAATCAGGTGAATCCCCCTCCCCACCACCACCGCCACCTCCACCGCCACCACCATCCCCACAACTACACAGCCAATCATTTGCCGACCCAAAATGAAATGGGCCCGATAGAAAGCAATGAGTCAGGGTTGCCCTTGGAAGGAACCTTCATCCTTGGCCCGCAAGCACTACAGGAACATATCGCGCTCCTGGCGCATCATCTTGCATTTGAATCATGAGAGAATCACCGTTGGATCCCACAACCAACAACATTATCCTAATGCGATACATAATGCGACAGGCCAACCATCACAGCAGAACCACAAGGCCAAAAACACACCGGCAACAAAACAAGAGACCGCAAATGGCAACAAACATGAACAAACCATCATTGCAGCAAAACCAAAGCAACAGTGTGCAAACTAGCACAGCGCACAACAACAAGAGCACAAGTGGCAAACACACCTCACTCCGCACAAAGCAAAGTGAACACCGCAACAACAAACCACAAACAAAACACAACAAAGCAACACAGGGCAGCCAGCACACCCACACGAATACACACACAGCACACAGCAACAATCAACAAGCCAAAGACAAACATCAACAGTTTAAACACGCAAAACAAAACATCAAAGAGGACAACTAGCAACTCATAAAACACACATCACCAAGCAGCCACGAGACAGCATATCGCAAGCAACCTGGCAATCAACAAACACACATCAAGAATCAAGTCAAAACTCTGACATCGGCAAGCAAACAAGGCCAAACACATCAAGCAACCATCAATAATTACCCTTCTGGGTTCTCACCCAAACAAAACCATGTTCAGGGAACACCTCGGAGTACGGCGCACATGATGCCGGGCAAGAAAGGAGCGTTCTGGGGTGAAATTTCGAACTCGCCCCCAAGAGATCCTAATTTTCCAACATGAGTTTGTGTGAAAATGGGTAGGCTCAAAACGAAAGAACTAGATTAACGCTGCTTTTCGTCTTTGTTTCTATTACCAAGGTGTCATTAGCCACAGCCAAGTGAGTGGACCTTTTTTACGGGGGCGGAGCCTCAAAAAGGCCCCTTAGGGCTCTTTTTGGGGCCACCTCGCAGGTTCGCAGAAGAATCAGCACTTCAAAAGCGGCCAAAGGGATTGGGGGCCAAAAAGTGGCCAAAGCAAGGAGCTCGAGTGAGATGCAGCCCTTTTTGGATAAAAGACCGCTCCTCCGCCCGCCCCGTCCTTGTGATCAGAAAAGAGTCGTGCCAGCAGCCCCAAGAGCGTGACCGCCTTTCCCGACACCTTCGGCGCCTCGCAAAGGCGAGTCCAGTTTCGGAGGGATATGGAACTCATCAGCCACCCCTTAGGGTGGCTGTTTCCCATTATTTGCCATCTACAATAACCAGTTCAAATCCATCCAAGCCAGCAACCCCTTGGTAGTTTGGTTTGGTAGTTTAGACATTCCCCCAAAACCTACAAGAGCCAGGAGTTTCAAATCCATCCGAACCACAGGATTCCCTATTTGTATATTTGAGGGTGGTCGGTACCCCAAAACACTGGAACCCACTGGCCGGGATCCGGGGTTCGAAGTGGTAAGCTGACCCCGAGAAGGAATAACGGAACCATTTCGGCTCGCTTCCTTTTAGCGGACCATCCCCTTGCGTTCCTCTTAAAACCAACCAACGCCTTCAAAAAACCGACAGATCCACCCAATTACCAGCCAGCTCTTGGAGAGCAGCCCTGCCGAAAAAAAAAAGAAGAAAAGAACTCGTTATTTATCACCCAAATGGTCTTCCCGAAAAGGCCGAAAACAGTCTGAAAACTTGTTCTTTGCCACCCAAATGGTCTTCCCATTGTCTTCCCAAAAAGTTGCAGTCCAAGAACTCGGGGGAAGCGAGTGATTCCCAGGGCTTGCCAGTTTCTCGAATGGCCCGCCTTTGGGGCGCAAGAGCCAAAACCCAAACGCAACCCAAGCCATCTTAGCTCCCAATGTTGGCCAAAGCGTGCTTTTGGGGTACCCGTTTTTTTCTTTCTTCCTTTTTTTCTTTATAATAACATATTAAGGAAAAGAAAGAGGACACGAAGACCAAACCCATCTTAGTTCTCACTTTTGAGAACCCGCGAACGCCAAAGTGTGCCTTTCAGGGTACCCCATTTTTCCGGTGTTTAAAGGACAATCTTTCTGATGTGTTCTTTTTTTGGAAAACAAAGAGGACACGGGGGCCAAACCCATCTTAGTTCCCACTTTGAAGAACTCGCGAATACCAAAGTGTGCTTTTCAGGGTACCACCTGTTATAGAATGACTTGTTTTTGCTTGCTTCACTTTGAGTCACAGGTAAAATGTAAAATGTATCCTAAGTCTACCCCACCAACCATTTGACCATTTTGGTGGGTACCCCATTTTTCTGGTGCGGTTTAAAGGTAAACAAAAAAGACTTGTTTGGTGGTTTAAAGGAAATCAAAAAGACACCAATTATTTCGGGGGGCAGTTTAAAGGGAAACAAACCCCATTTCTGACTTTGATAAACCCCCAGAAACCGTCAAAATCATGACCTCTGTTAAAGAAAAACAAAAAAGACACGGACCAACCATTTCGGGGCGCCAAACGCGCAAGACACACCACCCACGTGGCTCCAAACGGAGGCTGCCCCACCTGCTTCACCTGTGCATCCACGCACACCGCGGCCGCGAAGCTCTGCAGGCGAGTTTTGAGCTGCGGCAGTTGCTGCTGCAGCGCCTGACGAAATCAAACGGCCCCTTTTATCAGGGATGCCTTCTAAATGGTGGTTTCCCTGTATTTCGGTGGAAAAGGCCATGTTTCAAATGGGCAAAATGTATCTTTTAAGGATCCCTGCTTTTGTGGACCAACAACACAATCAATCATGGCAGGAACTTGGATCTAGGAAACTCCTTCTTTTTCGCGAGAGGGTGTGGATGTAAATTGCGATGGAAAATGACCAAGCACAGTGTGTTTTACAGTTTTAGACTGTAAGTGGTTTTCACTGTTAATGGTTTAATAACCCATGAGTTGGCAAAAAGTTAACATCTTGGGCTGGGGTACAGTGACATGGGGCGTGAGCTTTACCGGCCAACCAAAAAGACTCAACGAGTGTTAGCCGGGGCTGTGGCGCAATGGCAGCGCGCCCGTGGAGTTCCACGGGAGGTTGTTGGTTCGAGTCCTTCCAGCCTCAATTTGTTGGGCAAGATCCAAGTCCATGCCATGATTGATTGTGTTGTTGGTCCACAAAAGCAGGGATCCTTAAAAGATACATTTTGCCCATTTGAAACATGGCCTTTTCCACCGAAATACAGGGAGATCAATTCCATCCAAAACACGTTGAAAGGGCCAGAGCTTTGGGCCCCGTGGTTTGCAAGACCGTTGGCGCAATCGATCGCTCCTGCGCGATCTTCCGGGTCTCCTCGGTGCCGAGCTGCAACAGCTGCTCCGCATGCGCCTTTCGGGGCTCGGAAGCGCTGCTCCCGACTTGAATGGGCCGAAGCGAGGCTCAAAGCGACCGAAAGGGTCGATCTAAATTCAGTCTGCCTTTCCGCACAAAACACCCTACCAAAGAGGATGGATCCGAATTCTGCAAAACATGATAACTCCAGAACATGACAGAAAACAAGGGACATGAGGAAAGAGCGTATGCTTGGATGTTCAACCAGCGAAGTCAATAGGCTGTAATAATTGGGGGGGGGGGGAACGGTGTTATTCCCCGCATAACAATGTAGCATGAAAGAGCTAATTTTATGGCGTACCCAACTTTACATGCCTTGTGGGTACATGACTCCTTTTCAGGCTTGATGTTGTTCATACCCTCTCCCCAAAAGGCAGTATATGCCCAGCTCATCATCTGTCTGGGGGTCCTGAGTCTTCTTTCAGGTTTGCTGGCTTTTGGGGTTGGTTTGGGGAGCAACAAAAGAACAAAACAACATCCTGTAGGTTTATCCCCATGCTTAACCACATACTCTAAGCCCACAAGTTCCGTCAACATTTGTTGTTCATAGTAAGTACGTTTGAATTTAGAGGTCCCCTATCGTTTTCCAGCCTTTGGTCTATAACGCAAAGGTATCGTTTTTTGTTTGAGAGCCGATCGTTTTCCATGGTTTCAAGCACCTTGAGCTATATGGATGTCCAAGTGTAAACTACTTTCCTTTTTCGTAAACTCTGACCGTGCTTCAGCCAAGATGTGGCGGTTGCCCCCGGCCGAATGCAAACTTTGGTTGGTTCGTGGGGAAACCAAACAAAACAACAAGTCAAAGTGACAACAGCCAAGTCTAGGTGCTCCAGTAGAGAGGTTAGAATAAGGGTACCAACTTTTTTGTGTAGTCTATTTTAGTAGGGAACCCTCCCCCGAAAAAAAGGGTAAAAGGGCACTACTGGGGGACCTAGAAGTAGAACATTGGGGGAGGGGTGTGCGGTACTCAGCTCCAAACCACCTGCAACCCTCTTCTTCCTGGGCTAGTGACTGGAGTCAGAAGCTGAACGGATGTACATGGGAAAGAAAGGGTACCCTTTTTGTTGCTACTTGACCTTGAGCGGTTCCAGTTCTAAACAAGTCGAAAGAAAAAAACACTGCTGGGTTTGTGCCAACCGACTGCGTCAGCCTCCAGCTGTGGCGCGATGCAGTGCCGCAGCGCGAATTGGAAGGCCTCAACACCCAGCTCCTCTCATGGATCGCTCGCGTAAGTGGCGAGCACCACTTGACGTTGGAAACGCCAAACGTCGACCATATCTAAAGGGCCTGGGGTGGTTTGACTGGAAAGCCTGAGAACAACTTGAACAACCGCTGGAGTTGAACAAATCGTGTGTTGGTTCTGGCTGAGTTTGTCTGAGCTATGATAACTGACGAACCCAACCCCCCGCAACCCAACCCAACCATCATTGAAATGACAGTTAGGCCACTCCCGTGAAATGGAAAAAGAGGCTACAACGCGAGCCTGTTGCCTCATTTATCACTTTCAAAAAGAGTGAGATATGTATGCGGAATCCTGTTGGTTAGAGGGTGATGCCCATGAAGACACTTGTAAGAAGGTGTCATCCGCATCAAGCTCCCAGCTTGACTATCCTCGAAACTTACAGGGTTTCTCAAGCCTGGCAACTCGCATCAGCCACGTACCTACTGGCCTACCGACATGCTAGTAATGTTCTCTGGGACAGTTTCCCTTTGTAGCTCCACATCCACATGTGATATGACCTCTGGTATGACTTTCGCTATGAAGCCCAGTTTCTTGTCAAAGAACCCCTCACCCCTCTCCCCCTCCCCCCCCCCCCGCAAAATGCTTGACCACCCAAAACGGAGCATTCAAAATGGAGCATGCCCAATAGCCCCTGCCTGAACCTTTCCCCAGTTGGCTATGAATCTCAATAGGGAAGCCCCTGAAAAATGGTCAGTGAACATAAATGCCGACCTAAACGATGTCCACCAAAGGGTCCCTAACTAACACTCATGCCATTTAGTGGACACACCCACTTTGCACTGTGCATCCTTCAGCCGAGTCCCAGACAAACATGTCTGGCTTTCCCATGGGGTCCCACCGGACCGGCTCTCCAGTTGTTGAGGGAAGTTTGGGAGGCGGCATCCCCTCTTAGACGACCAAGATGGTCACTTCCTGGTCATGGCCTTTCAAAAAAGGAACCAAACGGAAGGAACCCCAAAAGACGGTTGTCCCCCAAACCAAGTCTTCAAGACTTGCTTTCGGACCCGAAACATGAAAGGAAAGACTCAAAGATGGAAAGAAACCAAAGCGGGGTTCACCCAAAAGCTTCCCTTAGATGCCCAGTGACCATTGGAAGAACAAGGGCATCCGATTTTTGTTTGTCGGTTGGTTGACTTTAAAGGGAACCCCTTCCCCACCAAAAAAGAGAGAGAAAAAAACGGGAGTCACTCTGGCCTCATTATTCTATCATGATCAAAGTCCCCCCCCCCCAAATGAGGTGGGTTAAAGGGAGACAACCACATTTTCTGACTTTGATAACCCCCCGAAACCGAATCAAAAGAATGACCCCAGTCACTGCCGGGTCAAATCTCCCCAAAAAATGGTGTTGTTTTGTTGGTTGGCTTTAAAGGGAACCCTTTTCCCCCAAAACAAAAGGGGAAAACAACGGTTGGCACCGGGCCAACAGCCCCCAACTCTCCCCCACGTGGGAAGTCTCCTCCAGGACGTGGCTGGAGCGCTTCAGCAGCTTCCCCGCGTCTTTCACCGGCAAGCCCACGGTCGCCTCGAAGTCCTGGCGAGCTCAGGCGTGGGATTTACACGCTGCTTGAGCCGGTTATAAGGGTTTCCAACAAATGGCCACGGGTCCAAATCCAAATCGTACCCCCAGTGAACATCCCAATCCCCACTGAAATACAAAATGGTACCTTTGGTGTTGACCCACAGCCAAATGGGTTAACTATTTGTTTAGAGGGTCAACCAGCTGTAGAAGGCTAACCACTTCTAGAGGGTATTCGTTTGGCAGGCTACTCAGTTGTTCAGTGACCATGGAAAGAAAAGGGAACCCTTTTTGGGGAAGACCAAATATTTAGTGGGGCAGCCACAAAAAAAAGGGGGGAAAAAGGGCGCCACTGCACAACTGAGGTTAACTAATTTGGTTGAGGGTCAACCATTTGTAGAAGGTCAACCATTTCTAGAGGGTACTCGTTTGGCATTCGTTTGGCATCCCTTTGGCATTCGTGAAGATACAAAAACAACTCACGGTTCCAAACCAGGGCCTTAAATTTGAGGTCAAGCATGGCTGGAATCAAAATACAAGCACAGTCACACAGAAAGACGTCTCCAATGTTGCTCTAGAAAGACAACCCGTCAGAATAGATCGAGTTCTAACCATTGCGTGTTTCCGCTTTGTGGTGCAGACATGTGCATCTCTTTCCTCAAGTCAAACCACGAGTCCCCATGTTTTGCGCACGCCCAGGACGGGTTCGAAAAAACCGTGAGTTCCGTTTTCACCCAGTTGGGGAATACTCGTCTAGACCGAAACTGGAGGTGTATTTGGTGTTGGTGGGTGGTAAGAAACAGTTTGATGTTTCCCCTTCTGGCTCAAACGCCAACACGTCAAGCGCTTCCTAATATTTGTTGAGCCCAGGCCACCACTTCACGAAAAGCAACCTGAACAGTTTGATCGTTTCGTTTTGGAGAAGTCTGCAAAGGGCCCTCCTCTTTGCGGTTTCCGCATTTGTTGTGATTCCTTAGATGGTTCGAAGGAAAGCCCAAAATCAGTGTGCCTTGTTGCAGATTCCAGCCCGAAATCCCGATGTGTCGAAAAATGATCAACCCCGGAAAGGTAAGAGGACACCATTCCTCCCAACCTGCACGCGTCATCTTTTCGGGGCCAAACTCCGAACTGTGCGCAAAACACTGTATTTGGTTGAAAGGGAACATGACAGCAAAAGGACCAACATACTGTTGGTGGACGAAATCCTGCAGCACCTACTCAACCCTGGAATGACGATTCCCCTGCAAATACCAACCAACAACGGTTTGCGGTGGTTTCCAGGTGGTGCGCTTTACGAATTTCGCAACCATCCACCGTATTTTGCACAAAAACCGCTGCGGCAGGCCCTCCTTCCCCTGTCGAAACTGGCCCCACCCACGCCCCCCTGGGCTCCTTCAGCAAGTTTGCCAGCGCCTCCTCTGCAGCTTGGCAGGCGCTGGCTGGCACGTCCTGGCGATACAGCTCCTTTTGGGTTTCCTTTAAAGAAATATCAAGGTGGCTCGTCGTTGTCTCAGTCATGGAAACCAGCTACAGGAACTTCTACAGGAAGTTGGCCAAATACCCACCAAAATCTATCCTCGGCACCCCTGCTTTGTGGGTTTTAAGGGGAGACCAAAAGGACACTCACAATTTGAGGGTACCCAAAACACACATAAAACGAAAGAAAAACAAAGGGCGATTACACACCTGTTCATCTTAATGACTGCGTGTGGTATTAAAGTATACCCCAGAACCCCATTTTGCTTATAAGTCCTTATGTCATGCTAAGAATACCCCCCCCCCTCTGCCATACAACTACTGCAGGCCTCATTAGCCATCGTCAAAGTCACCCCCCTTGTCCAGTTCCATGATTGTTGCAAAAAGGGGAATCGGCTGGGTGTGTGCTCTTTCTGCGTGTGTGTGTGCGCGTGTGCGTCAGGTTTTGTCCATATATGTCCACCAACAGTCGTTGACGTTGTCTTGTTTGACGGGTAATGAAAGCTAAGCTGTTGGGAAAACGGTGTGAACACCGTTTCTTCATTATTTATTATTTAAACAAAATAGCAGTCAACCAAATGGGCTTTCTCCTGGGTTTTCTTGTTGGTTCATGTTGCTCAACAATGAAGCCACCCGAATCCTCCGGAAAGTCCACGTACCGGAACTTGGAGGAATCCTCCGAGCCGCCCGCGGCCAAATGGCTAGGCACCTCCCAGGGGTTGAGCAAAGCACTGGTAAGGAGGATTCTCTAAATGGCTAGGTTTGAGAGGTTAAAATAAGTTGATACCCTATTTGTTCTGGTTTGTCTATTTTAGTAGGGGAACCCAAAAACCCAAAAAAGAAACGGCAAAAGGGCACCTAGCTGGGGGACCTAGATGTTCCCAAAAAGATTTTACCCGCGCCTTCATGGCCTGGTTTCCTAGGTTTCGTTCTTCAAAACATACAAGGAAGTGCTGAATGTTGCAAAGCACACCAAACACTTCAAGTGAACTAACCACATTCGACCACACCTGCCAAAATGCGGCAAAATACAGGTCTCCATATGTCTCCCTTCCCTTCCTGCTTGCTTTTTTTGTGCATCGGCCCCTTTCAAAGAGGAACCACAAGACGGCCTTTTGAAAGAGGAGTGTCCAAAGGGGCTGCCCAAACGTCGCTTACGGCAAACAGATGTCTTTACAAGCGAAGCCACTTTATCCCTCTAATGTCTAAGGAACCGCAAACCTTGTTCTAGGGGTAATTATTGAAATATCTCAAAAGATCCCTTCTTTCCAAACACAACACACCTAGGCAAACCGCTGGCGTTTGCCAAACAAATGGTTGTTGAACCATAATGAAAATGGAATCAGCCTCCCATATTTTTGTGCAACCGGACACAAACCCTTTCAACGAAATGAAGGTCTGGGCTAAGCAATGGCCAAAAGCAACTCAACACACGGCGTGCAATCAACATTTTTCCCAAAAGCTGAAGACTCAAGTCCAGAAACTGAAAAAACAAAAACACAACGTGAGCAACGAGATGGCATGAAAGGCAGCTTAGAGTCTGGGACTGGCCTTTGTTCTTCAAGCAACTTCATGCCAATGGAGGCTTGGCCAACCCTAGTCCAAAGAACTACAAGGAGCTCACACAGATCTTCGCGCCGCATGAGCCGATTCACGTATGGAGTCTCTCCCGAACCATGACTTAAAGTGGTTTTAGTGAAATTCAACACAACGCCAATATGATGTAGGCCGCTGTACATTCGTGACGTTTTGCATGGTTTTTGTTTTCCTATGCTTTCTCTGTCAGCGGCATGTTCCCTCTGGCCCACATCTGGGGTAGACAGAAAACATGCTTCTTGAACTTCTTGATGTAGCTCCCCACCTTCAAACATCACATCGTGTTGGAGACCCCAGAAATGGGCGCACCCTTGGCCGATGTGTGGCAGAGTTCCTTTTCTGCTTCAGAGCCATAGCAAGCGGAGCGATTGTAGAGTGCTTGCTATCAGTGACGAATAGTGTTCAGAGGCCAATGGCCATGATGGGCCATGCATCTCATTTCTGCCCTTTATATGTTCTGAATGCAATATTGGAGAGAGGACCCCCCAAACAAAAAACAAAAAAACAACCAAACAGAAAAAAACAAATGTTGTGAAGCATGCGGATGTCCTTTGGTTTCCCTGTGCCGACCAACATGGGGAGTGGGCCTCGACCCCCCCGGAGACTCGGGCGCGCGGCGCCAAGGCCTCCGGGCAGAAGATCTTCGACTGCAGCAGCGCCTCGATCTGCTGGCGCTTCTGCCTCGTCGTTTTCTCGGCTGGAATTCGAACCCCAGCGAAAAACGATATCTTTTGCCTGGCTATTGGAAAACAAAGGGGACCCCAAAAAGGCAAAAAAGGAGAAAGGGGAGCTAATGCTGGGGAAGTTTCGTGTGGCGAGGAGTCGGCACCATGAGGTTTTTGTGGACCACGCGCTTTTTCGCCCCGGGAAAAATGAGAAATTTATGTCCAGTCGTGAAATCGACTCCCTTCATATACAACCAAAAAAATGGTCACGAACGCTCTGAAGCAAATGGAAGTGGACAGAATCGGCGCAGATCGGCACCGGCTGGAATAAATGAACCCCCATGAACACGAGGACAAACCACCTACCAACTGGTGGTTCAAGCGGATTTCGTCCATGCACAGTATGTCCTTACACATATCACCTCCTTGAAACAGGCCATGAATATCCAGCTGGCCAAACAGCTGTTTCTTAAACGGCCCAAAGTTTGAGGAGGTTATTGACCCCGGATTCATCAACCTGATGGATTACTACAGGCCTTTTGCAAAAATTGAAGGAGGCCCGTCTTGAATGGAACACCCCCTAACAATGCAATCAGGGGTGTATCCACCTATGGGTTCCCACTACAGTGGGTGGTCTAAATATTGGAAGTAGGGGAACAAGCAAATTCCCTAATGTACTGTAATTTACCGTGGTTTTGTGGGTGGGTGTGGTTGGTTTACTTGCAACATTTATCCACCGCACCTTTTGAGCACACCTCACCCTGTTGAATGGAATCCTCATGTCAGGATTGGAAACTGAAAAGTGGAGGGCTCTTGGACCCAGAGCAACTTTTCAAACCGGAGGACCATGGGAAAATTGGGGCTTCGACCTAGGTTGCTTGCGGGGCGTGTGTATTGGCCCCCAAACTAATAAACTACCCATCGCCTTGTCGGGTTCTCACATAACCTGTGTACGACCTTGCTTGTTTGGAGTAAAGGTAATTACCCTTCTTGAGCTTATTCTATTTAGGTCCGGTCAGTTCTTGAGTGGGGGTTACATAAGGGGCCTGGATAAATTAAGAATTACCCACTCCCTTGTGTGCCCTTTTCAGCAAATCAACATGCCAATTGAGCACCCATGGGAACAAAGGCCTTTGAAGCTATTCCGAGCATGTCCTGCAACATAAAACCAAAGAATACCGTTGACCGACGGGTTCATACACGATGCCTTTGATTATCATATGTGCGGCAGCCACGATTGTATCCAAACAGCATAGCTTCAATGTTCGCCTCCCACCTTTTGCTGCACTTTCGACCCATTTTGGCCCTTGAAAAATGACTTCCCTTCTGGATCCAGAAGGTGTGTGCACTTCCACGTTTCTTCGCGGGGCGGAAGGTTTATTCAATGCCACCTTTCCTTGTGGCAAACGAACCGATATCCGAGGCGCTCCAAGTTCTTGAGGGACCCGTTCACGAAGCTGGCGGTGAGCCCTAAAATCCGGGGGCAGCCCGGTTGCCCCGACACCTTCCAAATGGCGTCCTGGTGACGGTTCCGAGCCGGGTTGACGGTTCTGAGCCAGGCGTTCCCGAGGTTTCTTCGCTACCCTCCCCCAGACTAACATGGAAGCTTTCAGGACCGATTTGGAAGACTTGGCTCCATTTACAGAGGCCTTCTAGGAGCTTCCATGTTAGTCTGAGGGAGTGTAGAGTTCCCACTTCGCACTTGGCTTTGTGTGTATGTGAGCCTCAATTGACAATGGCGCCTTGGGCTCACGGTGATCAAGCCATTTGCAAACAAGACTCGAACAAAACATGCAACAAATCGTATGTGCACGGTATAGCTGAAACTAGAGGGATTGCAAGAAAAATGCGACATGTAAAGGAAAGCAATCTATGTATATCTAGTAATAATTCCCTACTTGGGCCCATTCATGGTTGGACTGTTCCCACACAGGTGTGACTGGGTCTCAAAAAGAGGGAACTCAGGCCCGAAAACGGTTTGATTCGCTTTTTTGGTTTGGAACAAGCCTGCTTGCCACGTCCTTGCTCTGCAGACAAGTTTGGAAGCCCTAAAAAACACTAACTCTCAGGGGGCCTTTCCACACCCCGTTTCCAAGCAGGCGCTGCTTCAACAAACGGCTTGATGACCAGCCCGAATACTGGAAGAGCAAAAGGGAATGCTTGCACCATCTGGGGCTTTTTTGCGCCCCCGGTTCTAGATGCTTCAAGGGGGCCTAACGACCAAAAAATGTGCTTGCTGGTTGTTGCTCCCCAAAATGGGGGATCTATGTCAGTCGGAGGCCAGGGAGCTAGGAGCCCCGGGCGCCGTCCTTCATGATGGCTGCCATGGGCGAGTTCCCCGTGGCATTGTGGCATTCCTCGGCAAGCATCGGCTTCCGACTTCGTGCGAGTGGGCGTTGCTGATTTCATGGGGCTTCCAGCCCCAAACCGATATCCACAAACAAAATTAAGTATGAAATCGTTATGCAGACTCAACGCCACATACTAAGACAACGTGCACAGGTATGCAGCACACGAGATATGGTCTGCATTGCTTGCCAAGGGCTGATCAGCCCCAAGGGGTGTGGACTTCTTTTTTGGCAAATGATAGTGAATACCGACCGAGATTGGCCACACAAAGTTCCAACTTGTTGCTTCCACCAAACAGGTCTTCGCAAAAAGTGTCTAAAGTCCAGGAACTCGGGGGTGAGCAGTGCGTCAAGTGATATGGGCATATGCTCCTGTCCAGGGTACCATTCTCACCTTGGATGAAAGGGAAACCAACAAGGAAACCACAATCGGCGGGGTCCCCGATTAAGACACATGTCCAAACGAAGGTTGCGCATATTCCCTTTGGCTTTCTTTGTGGTTCCCTTTAAACCAACCTAGAAAGGGTACCAGCTCCAACACCCCCCAGATTGTTGATCCCCTATTTTGAACTAGCGCGATTTGCCACCTTGATCGGGGTCCGTGAAGCTCAGCACTTTGAGGCGTCAAACTTACTCTTTGTTGCTTGATTCTCTGTGTTGCTGAGAAATTGTCATCAAACCAGCAGGGCCTGCGAAATCTTGACACATACCGGTGTGTGAGGAAATAGGGGACTTCACAAATGTCGGCTTTGCGGTAGATTTCTGTGATTCGGGCACGAGCCTGTGCCCAGGCAATGGGTAAGTTGGGGTAAACAAGCCACAAAAGAAAGGTTCCCCAAAAGCAAACCAATCCCCGGTCCCAAAGATCAGGGTTTCCCACACACCAGAGAACAACAACCAAAGGAAAACAAACCAAACAAGAAAAGGGTTAACCCGCAACCTTGGTCGACAACAGGCCGCACGACTGGTCCCTACCAACCTGGCGGCGGCCCGAGGTCTCTTTCTCCCCCGAGATGCCGTCGGTCGACGCAGGGGTTCGGCGACGCCCATTCGAGGCGCGACGGAACCCAAAACTTGAGCCAAAACACCACAGGTCGGTCACTAACGCGACGTCCCTGATGATGATATGAATCATGGCTAATCACACCCCCCTCACGAGGAGCCCGTCATATGACGGGTGGAGCGTGCCATTTACTGATAGGATTTAACTGCTCGCATGCGTCCGCAAACAGCTGGACACTACCGCCGTCAGCGGTGGAGCAAACCCACAAAGGCAGTTGCGCGACATCCCGGGCATTAAATTCCCGCCACCACCCCGAATTAATCGGGGTAACGCTGTCCAACATACCTTGTGGAAAGGTCCACATGACGACACTAGGTCACAACTGTTTGCATCAACAATGCAAGAAGTTTAATTCTTATCAGAAGCCATGAAATAAAAGATAACGTATGTCCATTAGTACCCTCGCCTAACGGCAAGAGATACTCCTGACCATGCGTACCTGAATAAAAAAATTGAATTCCGCAAACCCGGGAGTAACCCCCCATCAGTTTGCTTTCCCTCTCACTCACACTGCTTCCTGATGAACACGTCCAGCAGCCCAGCAGCGATACGGGAGAGACATGATCACCGCGCCTCAGCGGTCTGGGAGGAACATCACCACCTCCGCACCGCGCCGACCATCGGAGAACGGACGCAAGCCTATCGGCCGCAATCCTCGTGCCTCAGCCTACCGGCTATCATCACGTCTCCTCCGGTCACGTCCGCCCCGCGCACGGTCCCTATCACGATCCCTCTCGGATCTCCTGCGATCATCTCGCCTTCGATCTCGCTCCCGATCGAGTGATTCATCATCACGACGATCACGAGCATCGTCCCTCCTCCGGTCACGATCATCCTCGCGCCGTGGACGGTATCTGCGCCTTCTCGACTCCCTGGAATCCCTGGTGTCCACGGTCCTAACGGACCTCCGAGAAGGAGTACGGGAAACATCCGATTCCTCCCAGAGCGAGAGTTCGTCACGATCTGGTTGAGAGCCTCCAGTGCTGACGCGTCCTCACCATTTCTGATAAAATCCCTGACTTGCCTATTCAGCACCCTGTTGGTGGAGATCGACAAGAAGGCGTCCACCACCGAACTCTCAGGCAGCGCCAGGAAGTGTCCCTCCACCGGGCTCGCCGCAGCTCGCTCCGCAGACTGCAACCGGATCTCCCCGCCTTCAGGCTTCTTTGCCATCGCCTTGGAGGCCGTCAAAGGTGCTACCGGATCCTTTGCCGAAGATCTACCAAGCGCGGAGTGAAGATCATCCCCACTAGCCTCTCTCGCCGCCGCACCTGGTCTGCTGTCGACGTCATCAGGCCTTGTTGATGCCTCCCGCTTCGTCGACTCCTTCACAGTCTCATCGGGATCCCAACGGGACTTCCTTTCTCTCTTCTGTCCTTCAGCCGACCCCCGGCTACCGCCGGGAGCGTCTACTCCGCTCGTCTTCTCCTTCTTGACCTCAACCTTCGGTTCGGCCTGCTTCGTCTCCGTAGCCTCAGCCTTCGGAGCCGGGGCATTCTTCGCCTCAGCTACTGAAGCGGCCTTCCCTTTTGGCTCGGTCTTTGGAACCGGGGTCACTTTAGCCTTCGCGCTCGGCCGGGCTCCCTGAACCACCATTTCGACCCAGGTCTTCTTCGGTTGAGTTGCAGTTGCACCAACCTCCATCGGAGCTGGTCCAGCATCGTCCTTTGCTTTTGCCTTCGGGAGATGGGCTACCGCCCTTGCCAGCTCCTTTACTTGTCACTTCACCTGACTTCGGTGGTGGGCCGGAAGGACTACCGCCCTTACCGCCCTTCTCCCCCTTCTTCCCTTTTCCGCCCTTGATGACCGGCTCCTGCTTGGGACCAGGACCTGGTGCAGCATGATGCACCGATTGTAGTCCTTCGATGTCCACGTTTAGCGGTTCGGGTTGACGACCATCAAGAACCGTCCTCACCCTCTCGTCACTAACGTAGACGAACGGGTCACGGAAGGGTGCGGGAGGCTCCGACTGGCCGGCATTGATCGCCTTCTGCACCTTGGCTATCGCCTCCTTCAACCTCTTCTTCTCATCGTACCCCGTCTCCGACACCATGTACTGCCTGAGCTGCGAAATCAATGCATGGCTTTCCAGGATGTCCACGTCCTTCCGATGGGTCGGATACAATGGGGTCAGATGACCAGCCGCAGAGCCAATCACGTATGCCATCGGGATATAGAAGGACAAGTACGTGTCATGGCGAGCGAACTTCCTAACGGAAGTCGTCATACGCCTACCCCACTGAGCAGCATGCCTTGGGTTGGCCCGGAAGTACTCCGTGACCGACTCAATTCTATCGACTTGGTTGGTCTTAATCAGGTGCTTCGCCACCCACTTCTCCACAAACGCATCCGAGGCCGATATCCCCGACACATAGGAAAATTGGAAGAGCACCTTCGCCAGCTCATCCCACGCCGCATCGACACCCCCCTTGTCTTCACCGAGATAAGGAGGAAGTCTGATGCCGCTCTGCACCGTCATTCTCAGATCGGATGCCATTGAATAGGAAATCAAGTTCCTCTTGATAACTCCGACCACATCGGAGGGAATCCTCCTGGGCTTGTTTTGCCCCATGGTCCTCACCCACTCCGGCACGATGCGGCACCTTTCGAAGTCCTTTTCCTCCGCGTTGGGGATAAAGTTCGGGTAAAAGACCGGGAGCGCACACCCGGGACACAAGTGCATCCCATTCGGCATCAACTCTGCGCACCTCAAGCAGAACGTGGCAGTCACATCCAGCCTGATCTCTTCCCGCGATCGCCTGTGCTCTCCCCTAACGGGGGTGAAGTCGCCATAGTCCCATGTCCGATGGTACACTATCGTGTAATCATCGTACATGTATGCCGCCTTCCAAGCTCCCATGTGGATCTCGTTCCTAACGGCAAGAGTCTTCCTCCTTGTCAGATACACGGGTCCAACCAAAGACCAGTGCACCCGAAGGTCCACCATTACCACCACGTGCCTACCGGAGTAGTTCCGCAGCCTGTCTCTGACATACCACGAAGGCGATACCTCGGCATCCGGCGCCATTGCTCCCACAAGTGGGATCAGGCCCTCATCCTGTCTTCCATCACCAATGGTCTCGTACACATCGGGCCTTGTGATCAATACCTCGATCATGGCCTTTCCGTTTCGCCTCACCCTTTGGAGCTGAACAGCCTTCCGGAAGTCCGAGAACTTCATGATGACGTACCCCACCATGGGGAGTTCATTCCAGTGCATCTCGTACATCAGAGATCCGCCAGGGGCATCTTCCTGAGTGTACCTATGCCTAACGGCACTGTAACTCAAGTCCCGCCCGATCCGTGTGTGCCTAACGGCAACCAACCTGGTGCTCTCTTTGAGAAGAACGCCATCCCCGTCGTACATGACCATGAGCATCGCTTCAACTTGCCCCATCGGGAAAGCTTTGAGCGTCGGAATGAAGAACCTCCAAGACATCTCAGCGTTCTCCATGCCCGAGATCTCCTTCAGGAACCAGATGGCCTGGTCACTCTTCACCCAGTTTCCAGCCTCGCGTCCGATCTCCTTCAGCACACGTTCCTCGAATAACTCCGAGATTCTCTTTGAATTGACGACCAATCGCCTATGGTGAGTGCGGCTGCCCCTAGTGGCCCCCTTGCTCCTGACCAGCTGGATGATAGCAGGAAGTTCAGGCCTAGTGGGGCGGCGAGCAAGATGACCTACAATCTTGTGATACTGGATGGGAAGGAGGATTATCTTGCCGATAGGCGAGAAATCAATCCCGAGCTGAGGGAAACGGGAGTTATCCCTGATGAGGCTGTCACTTGTCAGATTGTGGTCCCCTCGAAGACGAGGTTAGGCGAATACCTCCCGAACTTCGAAGAGACCGCGGGCACCGTTGCAGGACGGTGCTTCTTGTGGAAGTTCACCATCTGATTTAGCTGCGACAGGGCGTATGCGCGATCCTCCAATGACGCACTCTTC